ATTTCCCCCCCCCCCCCCCCGTCGTCGTCGTCGTCGTTGCTGTCCGGCTGCGGAACCGAAACAATCGACTGTACGCAATATCGTCGGCGTGCGTATTGCGAATAATATATGTATACGTGTGTGTGTGTGTGTGTGTGTGTGTGTGTGTGTGTACGTATACGCAAATGCGAGCGTTAAAAACGGCGACGATCGCGACGCGTGACGAGAAACCTCCCCTCGAGGATCACGGGGCTCGCGTCCGGACGCGCTAAACGCGACGGCGATTCGCCAACACGGCGCGACGGACGCGCGGTCTTAGCGCCTGCCGCCGCGAACGCACGCAGAACGGCATGGCTATTTTCGTAACGGGATTTCGAGCCTAAAGAAACAAAACACAACCGGATATCATTGTAAAACCGACACGGTTGCTCGCTTCACCCGGGGTCTGAAATTGAATTTCGAGTTGTTCCGCCGTGCATTATACAATGTTACGAAACCGTTCAGTGGCGATTTCAATATGCGCGCGCGCCTAAATAGATTGTTTCCATTCGCACTGTCGCTATCGTTTTCCGTATTATCTTTTTATCCGTAAAATATATATATATATATATATGTATACGGTTCCTTCGGTAATGCCGAATGCGCTGGAACGCGGGAATTAGAGTTATTTTATAGGCGGGAGGATTGAACGGGTACGATTCGGGACCATCGCGTTATTACGAGCTGTCTTTTCAACACTACATACATACAACCCTACGGTCCTTTGACAAAGAATCTCAGGCCGAAATTCGGTATGTGCACATCGTCAGTACGAAGGATTAGTGTTTTTTTTTTTTTGGCGTTTCAACTTTCAAAGCTCGCCCCCTCTCATTTTCGTGCTCAAATGTCACTATTTATTATTATTATTATTTTTTTTTTTTTTTAAGTAGTATACCTATAGTTATAGCGTAGTATTACAGTATTATATTTGTATACAGTCTTCGGTTATTTATTGTTTTACAAATAATAATTTCTATAATACAAAATGAGGGGAGTGGGAATTTGACTCTATATAAATATTATAAGTGACGGGAGTTCTGCTGCTCACGAGTGTTTTTTTTTTTTTTTTTACTGGCTTACACAGTACCACGGGGGCGTAAAACAAGTCGATAATAGTTTACCAGTCTATACATAGGTACAGTTAGCTATTAATACTTGGTAGGTACATATTATTTTGTAGTGGATACACGTAAATTATTGTGACGGCCATTATTTAGATTGGCCATTATTGTTCGCGTAAAACCGTTTTGTTTTTTGTGCGCAAGAGTTTCTGGCCGTTGTCGTCGAATTGTCGATGTACATTCCGATATTGGCTTTGCATTATATAAATTGGTTTCCAAACGATTATTTCAGAGTAGGTATACCGTGCGTTACGGAGAAAACAAAAAAAAAAAAATAAAAAAAATACACGGTACATTGAAAACGGCAAACGGTCAGATACCTATGTTTCTCAACACTGCAAAACTAACCGAACCTCCGTCGCGTTTATTTCACGCTTATTACAGATCTGCAGTAGACAATCGAATTGCCACTGTTATATTAGTATATACCTGTACGCGTTAGCGTTAATGGACGAAACTACCTATTTTATAGAATTACGGGCACTTTCAGTTAACGGATACAAAAATGCTTACTTCAACTGGTTATTCTATACATACTAAATAGATACTTTGTTAAATAACAAAAACGATTTAGATAAAATTATTAAAATATTAAACAAATTACAAATTAAAAAAAAAATAATAATAGTAGAAGTAGTAGAAATAGTATATATTGAACAAATTCCCGTGCACATAGGAATGTTCGTCATCAAAAATGAATTTACGGATAAAAATCCGAACACAGTTACACGGGAACCAATATGTTTCACAGAAAAAAAAAAAGAAACGTTTTTTTTTTTTATCGTCAGCCGCTTCATCGTCAATATCAATTTATGGTTGCGCCGGTAATTGTGCGTTTACGTCTCGAATTTAAATCCGTTCCTTTTCGGAAATTTTAATTTTCACAATTTTTTTTTTTTTGTCTTACTATTTCTCCATATATTTCGAGCAATAGAAATTATTTCGTTTCGCGAAACCTTAATAAATACTGACATTTTCGGAATATTCATGCCGTACATATTTCATTAAAATCCAAACGTATCAATGTCGAGTTCGACATTCAATTTTATTTTTCTTGACGATTTAACAAATTACAAAAATATTGAGTATTTCAATTGTGACACACCACCAACGTTTTTCTACCGCCATGATGTCCGGATTCGATTAATTTTGATTTTAGAGTAAAAGTGTCTTTTATGAAATTTGATAATCGGTCAAAACGTCTGAGCACAAAAGGTCCATGGACAAAAAGCCCGTTTTGAAAA